ACCAAAAAAGCAAAAACAAGGCTTAAAATGACCAAAAAAATACTCCAAAATACAAAAACCAAGGCTAAATTGACCAAATATACACCAAAAAGCAAAAACAAGAGTTACAATTATCAAAAATGCAGCAAAAAAGCAAAAAATTGAGCTAAAAAGACCAGAGCTTATACTTAACCGTGACCTAATAAATGTCATTTTTTATTCTTTTGATCCACTGGTTTATTCTCAGGTTTCCAACTAAAGAATCGGGTTAACAACGGCATCTTTGCAGGTTTGCAGTTTTCGATTGAAGCAAAAACATGACGGAAGTTGCATTTAAATTGAAGCTAAGCATGTTATTTTAGCATCTGATGAGATATCTTATGATACATAAAGATAAAATGGAGCTGCTCAACTCTTATGTGACAAGCAGAATATTAAGTTCTCTTCTGACTTTAACAGGTAACTAATGAAGAGAAGCTAATATTGGAGAAATATTATTTCTGGGAACATTGTGTTTCTTTAAAAAAGAAAAAATGCTAGAACCGGTGGCGTTTATTAGTCTGTAAGTGGACAGAAGAGGAGGAAAAGAGAGATACCAATGCAAGAGGCCAGGTATGAAAGTTTGCTAAAAGTAACATAATATAGAAAACCCAGATGCTGGGAAACAGTTTAATTCCTGCTATTATGATCCGGAGGACTAACATGATTGTTTAGCGCATATAACCATGTTTCATAAGAGTTTATATACTTTGCCTGTGACCCTATAAATGTCATTTTTTATACTTTTGATCCACTCTGGTTTATTCCAACTAAAGAATGGGGTTAACAGTGTGGACAGTGTGGTTTTCCCCCCTCCGATGACCGACGAAGAGTCGAGAATGAGAGATCCAAATTTAGCGCCGATACTCTTCATGACCCCCCCGCCCACTTAAATTCAAAACCATCCTTGCATAGCTGAGCCCACTGTGGACGGTTTGAGAAAGGTGTCTCATACTGAGGACACCAGAAACTTCTGCTTTCTATGAAAAGCAACAACGCCTCCATCTCTCTGAAATAGAAAAAGTTAAGTATGTTTTCAGGTGGGGGGCAGGTGTCCAACAGGCCTAATGCTCCAAATAAAGAGGATCCTGGAAATAACTGCAAGAAAGCAATTATCTAAATGAAATAGCCCCAAAAAATCAAAATCCTAAAGTCCAGGAGCTGTACTCAGTAATATCTGCAAAGACCAGAATAGGATTCATGCTAAAACCTCATTTAATATGCATTAATGCATATAATTATCTGAAAATAATCAAAGAAAACACAGTTTTAAAGGCAGAAAACAGGATTTCTGATGATTCCCAAAGAGCTGTTGGCTAAAACTTGGCAGATCTCAGCCTGGTGAGCAGTGAATCCTTTAAATATTTGAGGAAACTGGTCAATTGGAGGACAAAAGAAGAATAGTTGGGCCTAAAAAACTATCTCCAGCGGCAGCAGGCTCCACTTTGTATTTAACTGAATTTCCACATTTGGCCACTAGAGGTCACTGTTGCTCCAAAAACAGCAGCAGAACGCCACAGACTCATCATCAATAGCTTTAATTACTTTAAATCACTAAAATTGTCAGCCTTTAGGTTCATCAACATCTTTTTCCAGTTCTATATCTCTATTTAGAAATCACTACACGCTTTGCTACCATTCATTTAACCTTTTTAGGAATTATATTTACCGCTTAATCACTGAAATATTTTCATTTGAAAGTCATTTTGTATATTTATTTATTTATTTATTTATTTATTTATTTATTTATTTTATTTGTTTATTTTATTTGTTTATTTTGTATTTACATCTTTTCGAGCTCTTAAATGGACTTAGAGCTGTGTGAGAACACTGACATCTTTCTCTTTTTTATCTTTTATTATAACTAAAGGAAAAAGACTACCCTCAATGGCCGAGTTTCCCAAACATTCCTGAAATGTTCGGCTGACCTCACCAGGAATTCTCCCATCAGTCGCCATCCCAAAGTGGACATCGTCCATGGGAAACCAGCCAGGGAAGT